AACGTCAGCTTTCCTGCTCCTCTGATGCTGCCTGGCCTGCTGTGTTCCTCCAGCTCCACACTGTGTTATCTATGAACAACATCTCATCTTTAGATTAAGAACCTTACAACATTCTGGACTTAATATTGAGCTCAACACCTTCAGATTCTGAACCCACTCCCATTCCTTCCCTTTCTTTTGGCTTTACTTGTTGCATTGTCTGTCACCATGTCCTCTCTGCCACCCGCTCCCCCACCCCCCGCCCTCAACTCCAATGGGACTATCTGTTCTTTGCTGTTTGCCAGTTAGACACAACATTGTTCTGCCATTCTCACATCCAGATCACTCAAACTGTACTATCAGCAGCTATTCTCTCCAGCACACCATCTCCCCACCTATACTCCACAATTCATATCAGCTCTGATGAAAAGTCATCTAGACTCGGCAGGTCAGCTTGCTTTCTCTCCATGGATGCTGCCTGACCCGCTGTGATCTCCAGCATTTTTTGTTTTCAGTACAGATTCCAGCATCTGCAGTAAATTGCTCCCACTTGCACCAAGGTTCACCCAGAACTGCTGAGTAGATGATTGATTTCAGTGTCCTCCTGAGATCCACAGAATCACCGATACTAGTCTTCAGCCAATTCAATTCACTTCACATGATTTGGAGTCAGTGGATATTACAAGGGCTATGGACCCTGACAAAATTCCGGCAATGATACCGAAGTCTTTTGCTCCAGAAATAGTCACACTCCTAACCGAGCTGTTCCAGTACAACTACAACATAGCCATTTACTCAACAATGTGGAACATTGTCCATGTACATGCTGTACACAAAAAGCACAACGAATCCAACCAGCAGTGTACTCATCAATAAAGCAATGGATGGGGTGGGCGGCACAGTGGTTCAGTGGTCAGCACTGCTACCTCAGAGCACCAGGGACCCGGGTTCAATTGCAGCTTCAGGCAACTGTCTGTGTCAGAGGATTAGATAGGGTGGACAGTCGGAGCCTTTTTCCTCGGATGGTGGTGGCTAGCACGACGGGACATAGCTTTAAATTGAGGGGTGATAGATATAGGACAGATGTCAGACGTAGGTTCTTTACTCAGAGAGTAGTAAGGGCGTGGATTGCCCTGCCTGCAAAACTCGTAGACTCGCCCACTTTAAGGGCATTTAAATGGTCATTGGATAAACATATGGATGATAATGGAATAGTTTAGGTTAGATGGGCTTCAGATTGGTTTCACAGGTCGGCGCAACATCGAGGGCCGAAGGGCCTGTACTGCGCTGTAATGTTCTGTGTTCTATGTTCTATGTGTGGAGTTTGCACATTCTCCCCGTGTCTGTGTGAGTTTCCTCTGGGTGCTCCAGTTTCCTCCCATTGTCCAAAGAAGTACAGGTTAGGTGGATTGGCCATGCTAAATTGTTCATAGTGTCTAGGAATGTGTGGATTAGCCATGGAAAAATGCAGGGTTACAGGGATAGAGTAGTGGCAGTGAGTTTGAATGGGATGCTGGTCGGAGAGTCGGTGTGGACCTGTCGGGCCAAACGTACAGATTGTGTGGGTGATCAACAATGTTTTCAAACAGCACTTGCTCAGCAATAACCTGCTCACTGGCATGTCAATTTGAGTTCCATTGGAGCCACTCAGTTCCTGACCACATTATAGCCTAAGGCGACAAAAGACATGAATTCCAGAGGTGAAGTGAGAGGGAGTATAGGAAAGGGCTTCTCTGGAGCCCTACATTCACATCCTAGTACCATGAGATCTGACACCACTAAGAAATAGCTCTTTATGCACAAGCTCATTAACTACTCTAACTCTTTACTCTATGGTTCCATATTTTCCTGTGTTATAGGCATTATATATACATGCTGTTACTGGTGTATGGCAATGCTGTTCGAACATAACATACAGATTGACTGATATTTTTATATTGTTGTGTGAAAAGTGAATTAATTATATGAAAATTGTTTCATAGGTGGTTCCAATCTGACGATCTATGGATCGGATTTTGGCAACAAAACTGAAGATAGTTTTGTAGTTATTGGGAATTCTGAGTGTGCGATTCTTCGATGGTCAACTAACAACATTACGTGTTGTCTGCCCAGTCTCCCTCCAGCGAATTACAGTATCTATGTACAAACTCTTGTTGGGTATGAAGACCTAGAGTTTACGTTCCATTGCATTAACTTTTCTGCACAAATTGCCCTGAATCAGTGTAGCTGCACAAAAGATAGCAGAATTTTCAGCGCAAATTGCATTCAGTGCGAATTTCTGAAATCTTTTGTATCAGTTTAAAAATGTTGGCCCAAATCATCCTATCGGAGTCAGATTCCAAGATCAAACTAAAAGTTGCCCACTTACTATTGGTGCATCTTTCTGGGAAACTTCCAGACCAGGAACCTCCCCGGCCAAAGCAACTCTAGCGAGACGAGTCCAAGATACAGATAGCCAGAGCAGAGATGGGGGTGACTGCCCTTGATAACAAAGCAGCATTTAACCGTATGTGGCATCAAGCAGAACCAGCAAAACTAGAGTCAGTGAGGATCAGGGGCAACTGTTTGCTGGTTAGGCTCATACTTGCCACAAAGAAAGATGGTTGTGGTTGTTGGAGATGAGTCATCTCAGCTCCAGGACATATCTGCAGGTATTCCTCAGGATAGTGTACCGAGCCCAACCATCTTCAGCTGTTTCAGCAATGACCTTTCTTCATCATAAATTGCACAATGTTCAGCACCATGAAGCAGTCCATGTCCAAATGTAGCAAGACCTGGTCAATATCAAAGTTGGCAATTCGGATTTACACCACCTGAGTGCCAGGCAATGACCACCTCCTCCAACAGGAGAGAATCTAACCATTCACCCTTTTGATTTTCATTGGCATTACCATCACTGACTATCATCCTGCACTATCAACATCCTTGAGGTTACTATTGACTACTAACTGAACTGGACTAGCTATATAAATACTGTGACTATAAGAACAGGTAAGATGCTGGGATTTCAGCAGCGTGTAACTGCCTTCCCGAGTCCCCAAGTCCTGTTTATCATCCACAAGACAAAAGCTAGGACTGATTGAATACTCACCACTTGCTGGGATGAGTGCAGCTCCAACAACACTCAAGAAAGTTGACACCACCCAGGGACAATGCAGCCTACTTGATTGGCATCACATCGACAACCATTCACTCCCTCCACAGAGGCTCAGTATCAGGAGTCTGTGCCATCAACAAGATGCATTGCAGAAATTCACCAAGGCTCCAGAGAGAGCAGTGTCTAAACCCATGACTACTAACATCTAGAAGGACAAGAGCAGGGAACACCACCAGCTGCAAGTTTCCCTCCAAGCCACTCACCATCCTGACTTGGGAATATAATGCTGTTCCTTCAGTGTTGTTAGATCAAAGTCCTGGAATTCCCTCCCTCACAGCATTGTGGATCTACCAACAGCAAGTGGACAATAGTGGTTCAAGAAGGCAGCACACCACCACCTTCTTAAGGGCAACTAAGGATGGGTAATAAATGCTGACCAGCCAATGATGACCACGTCCATTCCACGAATGATTTTTTTTAAAGTAGATCCCAAATCTATTTTGCCAAGTCACCCTATTTGAGATTAATATCACAGAGTGACATGATACTGAATGAGCCTTTCTGCCCATCTTGCCTGTGCCAGCTCTTTGAAAGAACTATCCAAGCAGTTCGACTTGCCTACTCTATCCCCAAGCCATAAAGCTTTCTCCTTTAAATATTTACTCAATTCCATTTTGAAAGGTGCTGTTAGATCTGCCGCCAGAGCCATTTTAGGCAGTGCCTTCCAGATCACAACAACTCATCGTATCCCATAGGTGACTGCTTTGTCATCTCAATGTTTTTATGTAGATATTACATTTGACGTAGAGTTGGGGACTGAATGGTAATGTTTCATGTAAGACTTCATCTGTATTATTGGTTGCTCCTCAATAACATTAATGCTTTTTTTTTAAGATTTGGCTTGTTTGTTTTTCTCTTTCACTGCAGCAAATCTCTAAATGCTTCAATTGAGTATATCTTGCGTGTAATGGAAGTGAGTCTTCAGCAGGGCTCATTGTATGGAGGCACAAAAATCACCATATCTGGATCTGGTTTCAGTCCTGTCCCAGAAGACAATGTTGTCCAAATTGGTAAGTTTATCAGGTGAACCTGAGAGGTCAGCTGAGGGTGACTGTCATGAAAACAAGGCAGCATTTGACTGAGCATGACATCAAGGAGCCCTAGTAAAGCTGTAGACAATAAGAGGTAGGAGGGGTTGGGTGGGGCCAGTGGCGGAGAATTCTCCACTGGTTGGAGTCATACCTAGTACAAAGGAGCAAACACACAGAGTGCTGGAGAAACTCAGAACAGGCTGCATGTATGGAAATTGGAAGAAGTTTTGAAGAAGAGTCAAATCAGTCTTGAAATATTAACTCTCTTTCTATGCCCCACCGATGCTGCCAGACCTGCTGAGCTTCTCCAACACTCTGTATGTTTCAGATTTCCAGCATCCACTGTATTTTCTTTGTATTATGCCACATAGGAAGATGGTGAATTGCTTCAGTCTCAGGCCATCACAGCATCAGTATCCATCTTCAGCTGCTTCCTTAATGACTTTCTCTCCATCATAAGGTCAGTAGAGGAGGATGTTGCTGATGTTTGCATCATTTGTGATCCTCAAGTACTGAAGTATTCCATTCCCATATGCAGCAAGACCTGGACTATATTCAGGTTGAACTGATGAGTAGCAAGTAATATTTGCACTACTCAAATGGCATGTGATCACCATTACCTACAAGAAAGAATCTAACTATTACCCTTGACATGCAATGGAATTAACATCACAGAATTATCCATCATCAACCATCCTGGGGGTCCTCATTGACCAGAAACTGAACTGGACTAGCCATATTAATACAGTGGCTACAAGAGCAGGTCAGAGGCTAGAGAGTCTGCAGTGAGTAACTCATCTCTTGACTTCTAAAACCCTCCAAGAAGGGGTAAACTGGGAGTGTGATGCACAATTGTCCACTTGCCTGGATTAGTGCAGTTCTAACAACACTCAAGCAGCTCCATACCATCCACGACAAAGCAGCCCACTTGATTGACATCCCATCTAATAATTTCAACATTCAAACCCTTCACCACTGACACAAGTTAAGAACAGTGTTTACCACCAACAAGGTGCACTGCAACAACTTACCAGAGCTCTTTAGGCAGCATCTTCCAAACCTGCTCTTTCCCCACCAGAAGGACGATGCTGAAGCCAGCAATACACACATCCTGTGAATGAATTAAAAATAAAACCTGAAATAATTTCATGAGGTTTCTGTTAGTTTGTCAATTTTCCCATTTCCTTAATTTTCAAATTATTGCTGTGTAAAGATATAACTTAATATAACTTAATGTAAGAACATAAGAAATAGGAGCAGGAGGAGATGATCTGGTCCATTGATCCTGCTCCACCATTAAATAAAACCATGGTTGCTTGTTTTTGTGGACTCAGTTCGACCTTACCCACTCACTGGCCATAACTATTAATTCCTTTACTGTTCAAACATCTATCTCTGCCTTAAAAACATTCAACAACGTAGCTTCAATGGCTTCACTGGGTGGGGAGTTCTACAGATTCACAACTCTTTGTGTAAAGAAGTTCCTCCTCATCTCAGTCCTAAATATAGTCCTCCTCATTTATGTCGCCTTGTTCTAGTTTCACCTGCCAGTGGAAACAACCTCCCTGCTTCTATCTTACCTATTCCCTACATAATTTTATATGTTTCTATAAAATCCCCCCTCATTCTTCTAAATGCCAATGAGTATAATCCCAGTCTACTCAGTGTCTCCTCATAATCCAATCCTCTCAACTCCGGAATCAACTTAGTGAATCTCCTCTGCACCCCTTCCAGTGCCAGTACATCCTTTCTCGAGTAAGGAGACCAAAACTGCACACAGTACTCCAGGTGTGGCCTCACCAGCACCCTATACAGCTGTAACGTAAACTCCCTGCTTTTAAATTCAATCCTTCTAGCAATGAAGGACAAAATTTCATTTGCCTTCATAATTACCTGTTGCACCTGCAAACCAGCCTTCTGTGATTCATGCACAAGGACACCCAGGTCCCTCTGCACAGCAGCATGCTGCAGTTTTTTACCATTCAAATAATAGTCCTTTTTACTATTGTTCCCACCAAAATGGATGACTTCACATTTATCAACATTGTACTCCATCTGCCAGACACTTATCCACTCACTTAAACTATCCATATCCCTCTGCAAACGTTCAGAGTCCTCTGCACACTTTGCTCTACCACTCATCTTAGTGCCATCTGCACGCTTTGACACACTACACCCAGACCCCAACTCAAAAGCATCTATGTAAATTGTAAACAGTTGTGGTCCCAACACTGATTTCTGAGGCACACCACTAGCCACTGATTGCCAACCAGAAAAACACTCACTCATTCCCATTCTTTGCTTTCTGTTAGTTAACCAATTCTCTATCCATGCTAATACATAACCTGTAACATCGTGCACCCTTATCTTACGCAGCAGCCTTTTGTGTGTCACCTTGTCGAGTGCCTTTTGGAAATCCAGATACACCACATCTACTGGGTCCCCATTGTCCACCATGCTCGTAATGTCTTCATAGCATTCCAGTACATTGGTTAAGCATGACCTGCCTTTCATGGATCCATGCTGCGTCTGCCCAATGGAACAATTTTTACCTACATGTCTCACTATTTCTTCCTTGATTATAGATTCAAGCATTTTTCTCATGACAGAATTTAAGCTAACGGCTCTATAATTACCTGCTTTGTGTCTAACTCCTTTTTTTCAAACAGTGGTATCAAGTTTGCTGTTTTCCAATCTGACAGAACTGCCCAGAGTCCAGCAAAGTTTGGTAAATTACCATGAATGCATTTGCTGTTTCTCCCGCCGTCTCTTGTAGTGCTCTGGGATGCATTCCATCAGGGCCAGGAGACGTGTTTACCTTTAGCCCCATTAAGTTGCCCAACGCTACCCCTTTAGTGATAATGATCATTCTGAGGTCCTCACCAACCATAGCCTCCTTGTCATCAATTATTGGCATGTTATTTGTATCTTCCACTGTCAGGCAGGCACAAAATACATGTTCAATGCCTTGACCATTGCCTCATTTCCCATTGTTAAAACCCCCTTCTCATCCTCTAAAGGACCCATGTTTACCTTAGCCACTCTCTCATTTTTTATATTTGTAGAAACTCTTGCTATCTCTGTTTATATTGTATGTTAATAACGTGAGGAAAGATAGTAAGCTGATTGTGTTAATTACAGCAGAGATTTTATAACAATCAGTGGCATTTTATTCTGTTTTGGAATTCTGTGATGTGCAATATTTACAGGTTCTGTTCCATGTCACATAGCCTTTGCTTCACCAAATATTCTCGAGTGTGTTTCTGATCAAACTGGAAGAAAATTTGTCATCAACAACAATGGCAGCAGTCAAAGTATGTGACATCTTTTTGAAGATTTTTGTTCAAACTGTGCAATGTTGCTTTCTATCTCTAGAGTAAATAGGAACATCGAAACCAGGGCGAAGCAATTCAGCCCCTCGAGCTAAGTTAATTACATGGTGACTGATCTGTAACGTAACTCTATCCACTGACCTGAGTTCCATAGCTGTTAGCACGCTTTCCTAACAAAAATCTATCCATCTCTGTTTTGAAAATTTTCATTGACCCCAGCTTTAACAGTTCTTTGGGAAAGGGAGTTCCCAATTTTCCCATTTGGTGAAGAAATGTTTCTTGACATCTCCCCTGAAGATCCTGGCTTTCATTTTAAAGGTTTGCCCCTTTGATTCACCCAAATCTTGAAGCCTGGTGTTGACTGAAACAGGCAATATCAAAAATGCTGAAAAATCTTTTTAAGATGCATGTTCAGTATAAAGTATCAAACTCTGAAACTCAGAAGATGAAACATTTTCTTCTGAATAACATACATTGTCGAAATTAGAGTATATAAATGACTGAAACTTAAACACTTGTAATTTTTTGTTAACAAATCTCTTTGCGACAAATTTTTTGATTTTATTTTTTGAATGATCTTTCTATCCACATTTGTTACCACTTTGAACAGCATTTGGTGTGGGGTATAAGTGGAATCCCTCAAACCTGGATATCTTTGTTGGGGATACAGTACAGTGGCAGTGGAAGGCCCCATCCTTACTTCAAAATTTGAAATACAGAGTCTCCAGTGTCTCCAAGCCCAGTGACGTAAACTACAAAGGCATTGGGTTTATTAGTGGCAATATGAGCACTACATCAGGTAATTTCACATCTGTTGCATTTAACTCCACAGGAAAATCCTCACCTGTATAAAATTCTATTGATGCACAACAGACGCTTATGCAGTAAATCATCCTTGTTGTGTGATTTTTCAATCAGACTTTCGTGTGAAAGAAAAAGATTTGAAATTCTAGAGCACATTTTACAACTTCAGGACATCCCTAAGAGCCTTACAGCAATGAAATACGTTTGACATTGTACTATTGCAGAACTGTTTGGTCAACTTGCACACAGCAATCTCTCACTTTCAGGAATGTAATCAGGAACAGATCACTTGTTTTCACAATGTTGATTGAGACAAATATTAGCCCCAGGACACCAGCAAGAACTCTCGTAATTTTCAACATATTGAATATGCAATCTTTTATGTACATCTGCACGTTTCCTACATCACAGCAAAAGCTACAGTCAAAAAAGCCTCTCATTTGGGTAGAGAGCAGTTTGGGACATCCTGAGGTTGTAAGAAACTTTAGTTTTTAATTATTCATTCACGGGGTTGGGCAAGGCCAGCACTTGTTGCCCATCCCTAATCCTTTATTAGCTGATGGTGAACTATCTTCATGACAATTTAATGGCTTGTGAGGCCATTTCAGAGGACAGTTAAGACTCACCCGCACAGCTGTGAGTCACATGCAGCTGGTAAGGGTAGCAGGTAAGGGTAGCATATTTCCTTCCCTGGAGGATATTAGTGAAACAGGTGACCATTTAAAAAAATCTGGTAGTTGCATAGTCATCATCTCTGAGACTAACTTTTTATTTCAAATGTAGTTAATTAGTCAAATCCAAATTTTTCAACTGGCATGGTGAAATTTGAACTCATGTCCCAGGAGCATTGGCCCAGTCCTCTGGATTATGAGTCCATTAGTGGAATCATTATACAGACACTGTTTCTCAATACTGACAACCCGAGGACTGCGCCAACGTTAGCTTTCCGATCTTGTCAGTTTTTGGATTGGGTGGTTAGGGCCAGGTTGGGTCAGCCAGATCTGACTGGCCATGTTGGGTGGGAGCAAAGATCACAAACTACTCAAAGCACAGGAAGAGACTGGTGTGTGAAGCTAGTAATCAGTCTGTACTAATTCAGCATCTAATCAAACAAGCCAGTAAGTTATTTTACTCAATTATGACAAACTAAATTTCATGTGTTGCAGCTGTAAAATTCTCCAGATTTTGGGCATCTTTGTTGTTCAGATAGCTGCTTGAGATTCGGTATCTATGCTACGATGGAGTGACAAAGCAAACTTAGTTTCCTCTTTCTTTTTTGTATTGATGCCTTCTCATTGTACTCAGGATATAATACAAAGTAGATTTGTTGATTTCATGCCCCCTAATGGATGATGGTCTTTCTGTGTAGGTTCGTTCTCTCATCATTTCACCTCCCCTGGGACTTATTACTACAGCAGTGGTTATGTGGACCAGAAACAAAGCATCATTCTCCAAGGGGTGGTGAATGTGAAGCCAACTGAGGAAAGCATCAAAGGTGTACAAGTTTATTTAGCAGGGATTGAAGCAGAATATATACCAGGTGAAATGCACATCCTCTTTATATTTTGGAGGGTTTATTTTGGAGGACGTTTCCTCAGTAACTCATTTCTAGAGCAGTGCAGGCAAAGCCTGAACATGTTAATCCCTTTGCCCATCACTCTGGGTAAGGTAATGTTTGACCCTGGGATAGGTTAGCCTCCAACACTCAGGATTTGATGGTGTTTATGTTTGATGCTGAGGCTGTATTAAATACAGTGACAAATCAGCGTTTACATCAATGTTGTTCAACAGAAATTGTTAACTACATACTAGCCACAGATTATAGTAAAGAACATCTTACACACAATGCAAGATAATGTGTGTAATGTATGTACTAATCTTTATTAAACAAAGATCTCTCCGCATTCAGTAACTGAGGGAATAAAACTATCACATGATCAAAGACCATAACTAATCAGATTGACTTTTATGACATGATGATATTTCCATCGTGACCATTACTGAGAACACAGAACGTAAGAACTTAAGAACATAAGAACTAGGAGCAGGAGTAGGCCATCTGGCCCCTCGAGCCTGCCCCGCCATTTAATAAGATCATGGCTGATCTTTTTGAGACTCAGCTCCACTTACCCGCCCGCTCACCATAACCCTTAATTCCTTTACTGTTCAAAAATTTATCTAGCCTTGCCTTAAACACGTTCAGCAAGGTAGTTTCAACCGCTTCACTGGGCAGGGAATTCCACAGATTCACAACCCTTTGGGTGAAGAAGTTCCTCCTGACCTCAGTCCTACATCTGCTTCCCTTTATTTTGAGGCTATGCCCCCTAGTCCTAGTTTCACCTGCTAGCAGAAACAACCTCCCTGCCTCCACCTTATCCATTCCCTTCATAACCTGATATGTTTCTATAAGATCTCCCCTCATTCTTCTGAATTCTAATGAGTATAATCCCAGTCTACTCAGTCTCTCCTCATAATCCAACCCTCTCAACTCTGGAATCAACCGAGTGAATCTCCTCTGCACCCCCTCCAGTGCTAGTATATCTCTTCTCAAGTAAGGAGACCAAAACTGCGCACAGTACTCGAGGTGTAGCCTCACCAGGACCCTATACAGCTGCAGCATAGCCTCCCTGTTTTTAAACTCCATCCCTCTAGCAATGGCAGACAAAATTTCACTTGCCTTTTTAATTACCTGCTGCACCTGCAATCCTATTTTTAGCGATTCATGCACAAGGACACCCAAGTCCCTCTGCACAGCAGCGTGCTGCAATTTTTACCATTTAAAACATAGTCCATTTTGCTGTTATTCCTACCAAAATGGATGACCTCACACCTATCAACATTGTACTCCATCTGCCAGACCTTTGCCCACTCACTTAGACTATCTATATCCCTCTGCAGACTTTCAGTGTCTTCTGCACACTTTGCTCTACCACTCACCTTAGTGTCATCTTCAAATTTTGACACACCAGACTTAGTCCCCAACTCCAAATCATCTATGTAAATTGTAAACAATTGCGGTCCCAACACTGATCCCTGAGGCACACCACTAGCCACTGACCGCCAACCAGAAAAAAACCCATTTACCCCTTTTTCTGAAGAAGGGTCTAGGCCCGAAATGTCAGCCTTCCTGCTCCTCTGATGCTGCTTGGCCTGCTGTGTTCATCCAGCTCTATACCTTGTTATCCCATTTACCCCTACTCTTTGCTTTTTACTGGTCAATCAATCCTCTATCCATGCCAATACATTACCTGTAATACCGTGCAACTTTATCTTATGTAGCAGCCTTTGGTGTGGCACCTTGTCAAATGCCTTCTGGAAATCCAGATACACCACATCCACAGGTTCCCCATTGTCCACCATGCAAGTAATGTCCTCAAAGAATTCCACCAAATTAGTTAAACATGACCTACCCTTCATGAACCCATGCTGGGTGTTCCCAATGGGACAATTTATATCCAGATGTCTTGCTATTTCTTCCTTAATGATAGATTCAAGCATTTTCCCCACTACCGAAGTTAAGCTAACTGGCCTATAGTTACCTGCTTTTTGTCTACTTCCTTTTTTAAATAGTGGCGTCACATTGGCTGTTTTCCAATCTGCGGGAACCACCCCAGAGTCCAGTGAATTTTGGTAAATAATTACTAGTGCATTTGCTATTTCCCCCATCACCTCTTTTTGTACCCTGGGATGCATTTCATCAGGGCCAGCAGACTTGTCTACCTTTAGCCCCATTAGCTTGCCCAGCACTGCCTCCTTAGTGATAATGATAGTTTCTAGGTCCTCACCTGCTATAACCTTCTTGCCATTAGTTTTCGGCATGTTATTTGTGTCTTCCACTGTGAAGACCGACACAAAATGACTGTTTAATGTCTCGGCTACTTCCTCATTCCCAGTTATTAAATTGGCCTTCTCATCCTCTAAATGACCAATGTTTACCTTCGCCACTCTTTTACGATTTATATATTTATAGAAACTTTTGCTGCCTGTTTTTATATTCTGAGCTAGGTTACTCTCATAATCTATCTTACTTCTCTTTATAACTTTTTTTGTGGCTTTCTGTTGGCCTTTAAAGATTTCCCAGTCTACTCGTTCCCCACTACTCTTTGCTTTATTTGTATGTTTTCTTTTCAATCTGATACTTTCCATTATTTCCTTAGACATCCATGCCTACCTCTCTCTTTTCCGACAGTTCTTCCTTATCACTGGAATATACTTCGGCTGAGCACTGTGAAAAATCATTTTGAAAGTCCTCCACTGTTCCTCAATTGACCCACCATAAAGACTTTTTGCTCCCATTCTACCTTAGCTAACTCCTCCCTCATTCCTTCATAGTCTCCTTTGTTTAAGCACAGGACATAGGTACTGGATTTAACCTTCTCACGCTCCATCTGTATTTTAAATTCAACCATACTGTGATCGCTCCTTCCGAGAGGATCCCTAACTGTGAGATCATTAATTATTCCTGTCTCATTACACAGGACTAGATCTAGGATAGCTTGTTCCTTCGTAGGTTCCATTACATATTGTTCAAGGAAATTATCGTGGATGCATTCTATGAACCCCCTCCTCAAGGCTGCCATGACCGACCTGGTTTGACCAATCGATATGTAGATTAAAATCCCCCATGATAATTGCTGTACCATTTTTACATGCATTAGCTATTTCTATGTTTATTGCCCACCCCACCACGATGTCATTATTTGGTGGACTATAAACCACACCTATCAGTGACTTCTCCCTGCTATTCCTAATTTCCACCCAAATGATTCAACATTTTGTTCAGTAGAACCATATCATCTCTCATTACCGCCCTAATATCATCCTGAAAAATCAGAGCAACACCACCTCCCTTACCTTCCTGTCTGTCCTTCCGAACAGTTTGATACCTCTGGATATTTAGCTCCCAGTCATGACCATCCTGTAACCATGTCCCTGTAATGGCCACTAAATCATACCCATTTGCCGTGATTTGCACTGTCAACTCATCCACCTTGTTCCGTATGCTCCGAGCATTCAGATACAGTGCCCTTATGCCAGTTTTTGCACCTTCTTTTTGCGTCCTATTACCTCCATTACTAACAGCTCTTGAGTTCTCCTTCCCTTTAACTTTTTTCCTAATTTTCAATGGAGTTGAAGCTTCCTTGTCACCTGCTAACCTGCTGCTTTGCCTTACATTAATTGTTATATTCCCTGTATGCTCACTCCTCCCTTCCCCCCTACTTATTAGTTTTTTTATATGAGACTAGTGTTTTATTTTGCATTTATTTAATTTGTTTTAGATTACTTTATGCAATTAAGCACAAGGTATCTTCTCTTCCTATCTCCATTTTACCAAAAAATTCCAGGTAAAGTACACATGAATTCACTTGTGAGTGTGAGCATTGAGATCACATGTGTAATGCTGGTGTCTCACACTCATCAGTCACATTTGGATCTATCATTTTTATTAGCACAGGATTCAATAGAAATTTAATCAGTTGGTTTCTAGAATGGGCAAGTGATTAGAAACTCTCAACCTGTCAGGAATACTGTTAAAATGTAGATCTGTTTTTTTCTACTCATTTGTAACCTGTTAAAGGTACAACTAAAACTTAGAACCATTAAGGGAACTGAAATCTTTTGCTTAGAAATAGTTTTGCATCAAATTGAAACTAAAAACTGGAAACATTTTGTATTCAGGCAGTTTCATGACTACACAGTGTCCCAAAGCATGAGAGTTATGGTAACCATTAGTGAGGTCATGGATAACAGTGAAGCTCAAGAGGCCAGAATTGGGGAAGCACAGGGGTCTCAGAGGGCTGTGGCACAGAAAGGAAATGATACAGATAGGGAGGGAAGAGGCCATGGAGGTATTTGAAAACAAAGATGAAATTTTTAAACCTGAGATGCTGCTCAGCTGGAAACTGATTTGGGTTAGCTTGTAAGTTATTGGAAAACAAAAGTATTCAGACTGGGAATACTTTGCTGCAATTGTATATTTTTTGAGCTTCTTCTGTCAATTAAACCTGAATGTATTTGAGCTTCTCAATATGTTTCTTTCCTTTTCCCCACTGGCCACTGCCCCTGCACATATTTTGTTGGTTAACAGCTGGCTGTTTCTGTGTAGGGCCTTCTGAGAAACTACATTCACAACTAAAAAGTAATAGTGACTGTACGGTACCAAAACCCACCTGTAACCAGGCATCGAACAAGACCGATGACAGGAGCTTCACATTTCATCTGTCTCTCTGCTGCTCCCCCACAATTAACAGCATCGCACCCTCAAAAGGAACAATGAAAGACAGGTTAACCATTACTGGCACTGGATTCAGTAACATTAGCTGTGCGAACGAGGTAACCTAACATGTTCAAACATTAATAAAGCAAATTTGACTTTGCCTTCTAAATATTAACAATGTAATTATCTGTGACTTCACCCCTTCTTTTTCTTAAAACTTGCATTTCTATAGCATTTTGCAACGGGAAGCCCTAATGCTCTACTGCCTATAAAGAACTGTTCGAAGTGCAGTTCACTGTTACAGTGTAGGAGACACAGCAGCTAATTTAAGCATAGCAAGATCCTACAAGTAGCAATGTGATAATTACCTAATAATTTACTTCAGTTGATTGAGGAATAAATATTAACCCAGAATACTGGGAAGAGTTCATCCGCTCTCCTTCAAAAAGGTGCCATGGGATCTCTTACACCCACAGAAACTTTGTTTAACATCTCAAGCAAAAAAGCAGCTTTCCTTCAGTACCAGCTTTTCAAGAACACAGGAATTGGTAGCAGTTGACCATTCAGCCCCTCACACCTGCTCCACCATTTGGTAGAATTACGACTGATCTGATTGGGAGCTCAACTGCACTTCTGTATTGTATTTCATTGCCCTCAGTTCCTATTGACTTGAATATAGTCAAGGGTCCAGCGTCTGCTGCTTTCTAGGGAAGAGAATTCCAGACACCGAGGTCGGATTCTCTGATTCATTGTCTAAGTGTAGGAGCAGACATTTTCAGTGGCAACTAAAATGTTATCCCCACAGTAGAAGAAACTTTCTGAATCAAGCTCCAATCAGCTTGGTAAAAGACCAGTGAGCTTCTTGGCCAATTACAGGCTTTAACAACAAGGTCCTACATTGCTAGGGATGTTGGCTATCAGAGGCCAGCAGCTTCTGGGTCCTATAGTTCGAGGCCTAACCTCTATAATGGGAAAGGAAGTTTTTTTCCTTTGCTAAGTGCAAGATGGGTGTCCTGCGGGGGTGGGGGAGTTGGAGGCAAGGATAATAGTAAAACAATGGATGATCATCAGTGGTTCGCACTGCTGCCTCACAGCACCAGGGACCTATGTTCTGTTCCACTCTCCTGAAACTGTCTGTGTGGAGTTTGCACATTCTCCCAGTGTCTGCATGGTTTTCCTCCAGGCGCTCCGGTTTCCTCTCACAGTCCAAAGATGTGCAGGTTAGGTGGATTGGCCATGTTAAGTTGCCTACATAGTCCAGGGATGTGCAGGCTGGGTGGATTAGCCATGGGAAATGCAGGGTTGCAGGAATAGGGTAAGGTGGAAGGTCGGTATTGATTTGATGGGCCGAATGGCCTGCTTCACGCTGTAGGGATTTTATGATTCCATCTCAATGCCCCCTCCCCCGTGCCCCACCCCTCCTGTACCTGACTTGCCCCAAATTGGAGTAAATAGAGATCATTCCCCACAAACCAATCAGGCTGGCAGGTGTTACAATCAAATGGTGAAGCGCACAGGAAACTGAACCCCACTGTTCATGGAATAATACCAAATGTTAAAGTTGCCCAGCACCCCATTTTCCTACCTTTCATACCAATGTTAATAGAAGGCATGGGCCAGGCTTCTGTACTAACTGTAGCTGGGAAAAGGTTGGTATATATGCTGAAGCTGAGGTGGGGGAGAGGGGAGAAGTAAAGGACACAGGCAGAGATGGAACCCAGAGAAAGAGAGAGAGCAGCAGACAATTGGGCAGACAAAGGAAAGGATAATGGTCAGCCTGGGAGAATCAAGAGCTGCTAATGGGGACATTAGCTGACAATGGGTTGATTGTGGAGGCAGGCGATATGACAACAAGTCCTGGTGTGTGGGGATTGGCTAATGACATGGGAACAGTGGCTCATGCCCTAAAATGATTGAGCTCAATGTTGAGTCCAAAAGGCTGCAGGGTCCTTGTAGGAGCAAGGTATAGAGCTGGATGAACACAGCAGGCCAAGCAGCATCAGAGGAAGAGGCTTCGCAGTGGGGTTAAAATTGTTTCAGAGATAGTAGGAACTGCAGATGCTGGACTTGTAGTGATTGGAACAAGAGCCAGGTGGATCTCATTTATTATGAGAACCTTGATTGAGGTTGTTAACTTGGGCAATCTGGGAGCTCAGTCTGACAGATGTACACAGGAGATTCAGAGAGTCTCTTCATTCTCAGGACTGAATCTGAGCTGGCTGGTCACAGCCTATGTACTGTGCACGTGTAAATAAAGGGTGACTTGGTGATGGGATACCGGCCTCCTTGGAGTTATTTCAGGCCCAAGCAAGAAATGAGTTTTTCCAGCTTGCGCTGAGCTGGAGCCCTGCAGCAAACCCAAGGCAGAGATGTTGGTTACAGAACATGTGTTGAAGTGGCAGGCAACAGGAGGCTCAGGGTCATTTTTGTTTATAGAGTGTGTTCAGTTGTCTTTCTCTGGAAGGTTCCACTGGTTTATCAAAAGTACAAAGTGACTGAATGTGACGAAATGTCTCTGATTTATCAATTTAAACATTGTAGCTTCCAGCAACTGCTGCAGGTTTTCTTCAAGTTTAAACTCAGGGAACAGGCAGCTTCTGCTGACACGAACAATAGTACACCTTTCTTTAATCTTCCTATTTCTGTTTGTCTGTGTCTCTGTAACTTGTTCCCAGTTCCAGCCTGCTCAGTTAGGCAAGACCAGTCAACTTCAGGTGTAAACAGCTCTCTGGCTTCTGTTTAGTAATTGGGCCAGTGACAGGATGATACCCTTCAATGGTCTTAATTGACAACTTTGGCCCTTAACTTCTGGTGAGGCAAGAAAATCTCCAACAGACCTACTCGTGCCTTTTTAGTTTTTACGGCTGTGGCAGAAAGCTGGTGAGTATCTCCATAGAACCAGTTTCTTTTTAGTCACTAATGGGATGTGGCTGTCTCTGGCTGATCAGCATTTATTGCCTATCCCTAGCTGCCCTGGAGAAGGTACTGGTGAGCTGCTGCAGTCCTCATGCTGGCCGACAATACCCCTAGCAAGTGAATTCCAAGATTTTGACGAAGGAACGGCAGTATATTTCCAAGTTAAGATGCTGAGTGACTTGGAGTGAAACTTGGAGGTTGTGTTCCCATGTCTCTGCTGCCTTTGTCTTTCTAGCTGGAAACGGTCGTGGGTTTGGAAGGTGCTGTCTAACAATCTTTAGTGAATTCCTGCAGTGCACATTGTGGATAGTATACACTGCTGCTCCTGAGGTGGTGGAAGGAGTTCTTACATGTGAATGTAGTGCCAGTCAAGCAGGCTGCTTTGTCCTGGCTGGTGTCAAACCTCTTGAGTGTTGTTGGAGCTGCACCCATCCAGACAGGTGGGGAGTATTCCATTACACTCCTGACTTGTGCCTTCTAAATGTGGACAGGCTTTGGGACTGAGGAGATGAGTAACTCACCGCAGTATTCCTAGACTCAGACCTGCTCTTGTAGCCACTGTGTTGACGTGACAATTCCAGTTGAGTTTCTGGTCAACTGTAACCCCAAGCACATTAATAGTAGGGGATTCAGTAGTTGTAACATTATTGGATGTCAAGGGGCAGTGGTTAGAATATCTCATTGGAGGCGGTTATTGCCTGGCATTTGTGTAGTACTAAATGCTCAATTTTGTGCCCTTCTCACCATCTCCAGGGAGTGGCTAATTGCTTCCCAAGTCTCCAATACAGGTCGCGAACTTTCAAGTTTCTAACACAGAGCCTGGGCTGACAACTTGTAGTTTGTGTACAACACCATAGATCTTATCACAGTCTCGAAGAATTTGAGAGGATTGTGGAACATCATCCTGCATCTTCCAACAACTTTGTTTTTGTTCCTGATTTATAGGATCCGCAGTTCTTTTGGCTTTTATCCTCGTCATCTTGTTCCATACTAGCTGTACAAGCCCTTGGGCTAGTATTAATAATCAGGCTGCATTATTTAACATGGAATTGCAGTAACACAGAAAGGTCTGTAGTCACATGTGTCTACACTCACCAGGAGCTCCACACATAATAACTGAATCAGTAGTACAACTCCCTTACAACTTTCCTTCCTTGTATCTGGTATAAATGTCTCCTTGAGATTTATTTTATATTTGAATATATTTAGCCTGATATCAACATCCATTGCATTCATTCTTGCTTTTATTTGGGACTTTTCCTGGGGAAGGCCTTCTCAATGTTGTGCTTCCTTAGTTCAGCTATGCTATACAAATGCAAGTGTTTGTACAGTTAATGGTTCTCAGCCCTCTCATCATGCTGTGCTACTGAAAGATTTCATGCTTCATATTTAGCCTCAGTTGGTATCTTTTCCCCTCTGTCTCTGCTATTTTTTAAATTATTTTTTCCACTCTGGACTACCAACATTGCTGATTACAAATAACTAGTATTGTGTCCTGGTAGAGGTATGAAATCAGTTAATTGCTAGACAACAAACATTCTCATTCTGATGTGTTGTTCTGTTTCAGGTGAGAGTTGGAGCACATCGGTGTGTCGTTGAAAATAGCACAGAGAGTGAACTTTTATGTCAGATAGATCCTGAGGGAGTGATGGATATTGGCATTGCAGTTCTGGTGTCTGTGACCATCCAGAACCTTGGCACTGCTATCAATACTTTAACTGATGAACTGAGTCGTCGTTTTGTGCTGCTTCCTCACATTGACGCTGTTAACCCCAATGTTGGGTCCACAATGGGAAAGACCAGAGTAACCATCACTGGGTCAGGCTTTGGAGCTGACCTGGGTGCTGTCACGGTCCAGTTAGCCAATGTGTTTTGCATGCTGGTTTCTGGAAACTACACACATGTCATCTGTGACTCTTCAGCTTCTATTGTCTCCATTGGGATTGTCACACTTTCTATTCATGGCATCCCAGCTGTGTGTAGTGGGGCCTGTGACTATTCCTATGCAGAGAATGCAGCACCAATCCTACTGAATGTATCTTCTATGTTTCTGACCACAGTTTACACACAGCTCACTATAAGTGGCAGTGGATTTGGGAACCGTGTGGATGAGGCTTTCATTCTTATAGGAGATGCCAGTTTTGTTCCAAGTGATGTTTCAGACAGCAGTATGAACTGCACAGTAGGCCCCGTACCTGTTGGCAAGCACACACTCAGGGTTTTAACATTAAATAAAGGTCTGTCACTTAGAGGGATTCCCATCACCAATGCTGCCAGAGCCTCCCTCTCTCCAGCATCGGGAGGTATTCATGGTGGGACCACATTGTTAATAACAGGAAATGGTTTTGTCCAGGATGAAACCATAGTGACAGTTCACAGATCTCCATGTCACCTTCTTTCAGTCACTCCGGGGGAAGTTAAGTGCATCGTTCCAGCTGGTCCCCCAGGCACTGTCGATGTAAAGACTATTGTTCATTCTACAATGTATCCTGTCCTTAGATTTACCTACAACCAAACAAAGACTCCGAAAATTCTAGCCGTGTCTCCGGCAACAGGTAAGTAGTTGTAGGAACTTGATCTCCTGATATGTTTCTGAAGTACAGCCCTAATCCTAAAGCTGAGGGTGTTTCTAAAACCCATACTAACACACGCCCTAGCAATTTCACTTCCTCTAAAACAAAACACTCCTTCTAATACACATTGTCCTTCTAACATGAACACTCCCTCTTTCACCAACACGCACTATTATAAGCAGTCCCTCTAACATGAACACTCTCTAACACTAACACTCCTTCTCACATGAACTCTCCCAGTAACACAAACACATCCTCTGACATGAACTCTCCCTCAAACATAAACACTCCTGCTCACACTAAGATTGCACTTAGTTCTTCTACTTCAGATCCCTGCGTGCAGGCCTGAAACAGGACCACCATCTCAACACTGGGCTGAGCAAGGAGTCAGGTCTCAATTCCACCCCAGTCAGAATAGGAGTAAGCCCCATGCTGTTGGCAGAAATCTGATCCACACCAGCCATCCAGCTGATTGAACCAACTGGTGAGCCAGAAGCACAACTGCAACTCTGAGTTGCTGTGGCAACATGGACATTTGCACACATGGTATAAGTTGGAGCAATGGGTGGTGAGGGCAAAAGTTGCAATTCCTTACTGTACCACGAACTCTGTCTTTAACATGGATTCTTGCCGGAACACCAGACCCTTGCTTTAATGCCACTCTAACATTAATGCATACTTTAACAGGAATGCTCTCATTAACAATTCCTTATAACGCGAATGTTCACTTTAACACAGATGCACCACATCTTTGTCAGAGGGAGGTCATGCCTAACACGTCTTGTGGAGGTTCTTAAGGAGGTGACCAAGTGTTTGGATGAGGGTAGAGCAGTTGTTGTAGTTTACATCGATTTCAGCAAGGTCTTCAACAAGATCCCACATAGAAAACTGATAAAGAAGGTAAAAGCTCACGGGATGAAGATAACTTGGCATATTAGATCCAAAATTGACTTAGTGACAGGAGAAAGATGGGAGAGGTCGAAGGCTGTTTGTGTAACTGAAGCCCTGTGTGCAGTGGCTTAGCACAGGGATTGCTGCTGGGTCCCTTATTCTTTGTGATACCCATAAATGATGTAGATGAGAATGTGGGGTGTAGGGAGGAGATAGTAGGTAAATTTCCTGATGACACAAAGATTGTCCAGGTGGTTGACAGTAAGGAGGAAGTTGTTAGTTTATATGAGGTTATAAACAGAATGGTCAGCTCGGCTGATTAGTGGCAACTGGAATTTAACCCTGATAATTGTGAGGTGGTGCACTTTCCTAGAAGGAATAAGACAAGGGAGTACTCAATAAATGGCAAGAAGCTAGGAAGCTCAGAGGAACAGAGGGTTCTTGGGACTCTTGTCCACAAGTCCCTGAAGGTGATGGGACAGATTAACAGTATGAGATTGTTAACTTGCTCACCGAGCAAGCCAGCTCAGCGAGCAAGTTAACAACCTCACCCATAACCCGAGTTACAAATCTTTCCTAAAACTTAAAGGGTTAACAGTACAGTTAAGAAGCCACATGGGCACTTATGTGATTGATTGATTGACTTGATTTACTGAAATACAGTGAAAAGCTTTGTTTACGAGTGATACAGGCAGATCACAGCAAGCAAAGTGTGTACAGATCAAAAAGACTTAGAGATTTACAGGCTACATTGCAGGTTACATTATTTGAGGCTAGAGTCTAGAGGCATAGTTTATAAGAGCATGGAAGTTATGTTGGAGCTGCACAGAACTTTGGTTCAGCCACAGCTGGAGTACCTTATGTCGTTCTGGTCACCATATATAGGAAGGATGTGATTGTGCTAGAAGTGATGAAACAGAGATTCACTGGGATGACTGTGATGGAGCACTTTAGCCAGGAGGAGACACTAGATAAGCTTGGGTTGTTTTATTTGGAGAAGAAAAGGTTGATGGGGGATATGATTAAGGTATGTAAGATTATCAGGGGCATGGACAGGATTAATAGAAAGCACTTGTACCTTTTAGTCGCTGGGTCAATAACAAGGGGGTATAATTTTAAAGTGAAAGGGAGAAGGATTAGACGGGATTTAAGGAAAACTGTTTTCACTCGGAGGCTATTGGGGATATAAAATGCACTATCTGGGAGGGTAGTTGAGGCAGGACACCTCACAGCCTTTTAAAAATACTTGAATGAACACTTGACATGTCATAACATTTAAGGCTATGGGCCTAGCGGAGGAAGGTGGGACTAACGTAGGTAAATGTTTGGTGGTACAATGGCTGGGGGGCCTCTTCTGTACTGTTCGATACCATGTTTCCCTTTAGCATGGACACTGTCTTTCACACAGACACTGCCTGCTGCAAGCAGTCAAAGGGACAGGTTGTTTGATATGATCTGACAGTCCAGGAGTTGTTCAATCTACATTCTTGGCACCATATTGTTAATGAAACTCAAAACTTATTACTCATTTCTCAAATAATCCTGACTATGCTAAAAATAAGACTGGAAACCAATTATGAACTCTGGCTCACATGTCATTCATTTGTATATGCTGAAAGCTATACATATTCACACATAAGACCCTATCCTTTATAGGAAAAAGCATTTGTTCATACATTGCACCTTTATCATTGTGGAAAAGGTTATGGACACTACCAGTCCCTGCTACAAAAGCCAAGGCAATAGTCTGACCAAACACAGCCTGCCTACCTGGCCTCAGTTAAATCAGCTAAGATTAACAGTTAAGATAGCCTGCTGTAACACCATGCCAGTGATGGTCCAGCCAATCAGCATCCTCTTCTCATTCCATATAAATTGATGTTCCCTTTCTAAATTTGGTTTCTTGCTTGTCAGTCGTGATGAGTACCTGGTGAAAAGCTTCAATTTTGAGTCTCTTTCAACAATATTTGAGTTCTGTACTACCAAGCAATTACCTGTGCAAGAGGCTAGATTTGGAGGAGTGTAAATATCTTAAAGGACTCTAGGAATGGCAAAATAATTAAATAGAATTTGCACCACCGAAATTGGCCATCCAACCCAACTGGTCAGTAAACTCCACACAAGTCTCCTCACAACCAATTCCATCTCATCCCATTAGCATTTTTTAATTCCACTATTTTCTCTCTCATACATCAACAGTCTAAAGATATACAGAATTCTTTCCCCCTTGTTTTTAGGTGTAAGCGAATCAACAGTCACCATCGTTGGGTCAGGATTTGGATCTGCTGCCACTGATATCACTGTCTTCATAGACAATGTCTTGTGTAATGTGATCTTAATGAATGAAAGCTGTGTTCAGTGCATTGTGGGGCATCATGCTGGTGGCATATTCCCAATATTTCTGAAAAACAAGAGGTGGGGATATGCATCGACTGATTTCTCCTTTCAGTACGAACTCAATATAACCAGTATCTTTCCAACTGAAGGCAAGTATAGAGTTACAATTCTCTCTTCACATTTCCTTTGTACCTTCATGGAGACAAGAAAACAATTGGATTGAAATGGTTCAGTGTGGAAGGATACAGTAGTGTTGTTTTGTTCCAAGGCTAATAACACATGGAGGCTGGGTTGAGTCCCTGTGCAATCAGAAAGTCAACTTTCAGTTTAACGAATTTATTCGTATAAAGCTCTCTCACTGAGAGTGATCATGAAGCTGTCGAGTTGAAATACTTCTGATTTGATTCCTCAATATGCTTTAGGAAAGGAAATCAGTTCTCCTCACCCAGTCTGGACCTATTTGTGACTCATTCCTCATCAATGTGCTCGACTTCAGACTGTGCTCAGATTTGTTCTCACAAGTCACTCAGTCGAGAGAAATTTAGGAACAGGTCATAAATGCTGTCCTTGCCAATAATGCCCATGCCCTGACAATGAAAAAAAAAACTAATGAAGTATTTTAATGAATCAATATGTAAATTAACTCTGAGAGACATCTACAAGAGTGTTGTTTTGATCCTTAGTCTGTTATTTTTGCTGATCTCACTTGGAACAGAATGCCATGTTTCATCTTGATGGCCTTGTTCTGTGGAGAGAAGCTTCACATTCACAGCCTTTGTTTGAATTAATTAAAGTGACAGTAATAGACTCCCAGGATCTAGGGACATTGAAATTCATATTATAATCACAAACTTACCCGTGTTAATTACGTTTTAGTTTTTTTTCTCTCTCTCATACACAGGAAGCTTTGGTGGTGGCACATTACTGACAATAAGGGGCATTGGATTTGACCAACAAAAATCCCAAGTGTTTGTGTGTCATAATGAATGCAAGAAGGTGCCATCAGCCTCCACTTCCAGAAATCTCTACTGTCAGGTGCCTCTGCATAATGGTGAGTATCAGTCAATAATTGTAGTTGATTTCTTATTGTGACATGAGGAGACAGACCATGAGAAATAGGCTTTATCACTGAAGGCGGATCGCCCTGCTCCTTTAACCCTTTTGGTAACAGCCTCCATGCTAGGGTGGGCAACTATGATTGGACACACAAATGGAGACTTCATCGCGATTTCTCAAGTCCATTTCTTCACCTCAACATTCTTGCTATTGATTGTTGTAGTGGCCATCCTCTCAGCAAGCTGATTTCTAACACCCAATTAGCTATTGAAGAGAAGTTTCCAAATGATTGGAAGTTTCTCAACTCTCATTTTGCCAATATTTTCAGAAATAATAAATATAAGAATAAAAAAAATGAAAACAAAATCACAGCAGGCAGAATCTTACCAGGTTCTGAGCGATGTGGTCTATGGTGAGATGAGTGGCAGATTTAGGCGAGATGTTCAGCAAGGCCCATTTCAACATCAAGATCATCCAATTGCATCTTGCACTCTTTTCTCGAGCAGTATGGCAAGCTTCTCACTAGGCAGCAGGGAATTCCCCATTGATGCTCATTATTGCTTGTTAAACAGCTTGTTAACAGCCAACTCTCCATGGGTTGTGATCTTACGAAACTCATCATACAAACTAGCCAATAGACAACATGACATAGAAGCCAGAGCAGGTTCTTGGCGGGTTGATGTCGAAATGTTTCAACTCTTCACTTGCTTTAAAAGACCTCTATGTTAGACACTGGGCACCAAACTCTTGGGCACGTTCCATGGGCCAGCCGTATAACCCCCACATCCATGGACATTGGCATCTACAGCCCCTGTGAGCATATACCATCATGGTATATCTCTAATCTACTCATAGGATATTTCTGTACATCAGAGCTGCATCTTGGGCTGCATCAGCAATTATCACAATAATATTGCAGCAAGGACTTTGTGCTGAGGTAAAAACATCCAACTGGACCAGACTGCATTCCTGCGCTCTTTGCTGCTGTCACAGTACTCATTCCCTTTGACCCTACCTGGATACTCTCAGTATCCCTGCCATGTACTGCCTTGCCCTCTTTTTTGTGCTTTGTCTTCTCAGCCAGGAGTACCAGGTTCATTTAGCACAGACACAAAGCCAGGAAGCTTGTTGTGGTCATCAGTTCAGACATGGGGTGGGACACAGTAAGGACAGCCTCCAGTACTAGTCCAGGCCCTGTTCAGGACCATCAGAGTAATGATCCTCAGCTGATAATGGGTAAGGGTCCGAAAGATGGGCAGCACACCACCCGTCTTGAGCTTTCCTGCCTATTTTGGGTTGGTTTGCTCTTGGAAGTATAGAAAGCAGCAAATATTCTGGAAGATGAAAGTGGGAGGTGCATCTATTACTGTTGGTACAGGAGGAGCAGTGTCACAAACGAGTGAGTAGGCATTGCAGAGGGCTCAAAGGGTGAGTGGTACTTCAGATTGGGTGGATGAAAGTGCGTGGAGAAATATTATAGGCAATAGTAAGAAAGTAGAGCATGATCCTTGGTGAGAGGTGAGCCCAGTAGAGGAGATAGAGTGAGTGTGATGTCGCAGAAAGAAATGGTGACACTTACATTGGCAGAGCGGAGAAGGACATTGACCTTCTTCCTCTGGTACTGGGCACTCCTCCAGATGGCTGAGACTGGAGGAACCTTGGTGGAAGCCTTGGGCTGACATATTATCGTGTTGTAGCCTGCATTATTAGTGCTGGGGAAGAAGAAGTCCTGTATTTGCACTACTCCATCCAACAGGACCTCCAGGTCGCTGACGGCAATGCTGGATGCCAATTTTCTTCTGTCTGTCGTGTCCGGGGCAAATACCAGGAATTGTGCAGCGCAGCTCTGGATTGCCATTGCTTGTCTGGGTGCAAAAAATAGGTTTTTAAATATGGTTCCAAAGCTACAGATGCAGGTGAATTCTGGGATCTCTGGCACACGGTGAGTTGCTCCAGGAATGGTGTATGATAGATGTGATGGAAGTCTGATATAGTTCTCGCCTTAAGAACTCAAATGCCAATTAATGAGATGGGTTTGGTGAGCAATGGCAAATAAAAAATATTAGGCCTTACAGCATGAATCATCTCACCAAATTTGATGCAACTCACAGTTTGTCACAAAATGTTAAGATTCTGCCCAACATTTTGAATGATTTTCCCCTAATTGCTCATGGCTGATGGTCAGAGAATAATCTTGCAATTCTCGATGATAGCAACCCTTGTCTGTGGAGGAGATATGAAAATCAGATCATACCAAAATATTGCAGCTGCTGGAAATCTGAAACAAATGCAGAGAATGCTGGAGAAATTCAGCAGGTCTGGCAGCATCTGTGGAAAGAGAAACAATTAATGTTTTGAGTTCAGTATGACTCATCTTAAGAGTTATGTTAAAGTTTTTAATTGCAGTAAGGCAAATTTTTATGGTATGAGACAATAACTTTCAAAAGTTGGTTGGAATAGACTTCACAGGTAAAAGGACGTCTGACAAGTGGTAGGCATTTAAAAGTGTGATGACGAGAGTTCAGAGGCATTTTTTTCCTGTTAGAGTGAAGGATAAGGCTGGTAAAATTAAGGAACAATGGATGAATAAAGATAATGTGGTACTAGTCAAGAATAAAAGAGAATCTTAGTTAAGATATGGACAACTTGGTTCAATTGAATCTCTTAATCAATATAAAGAGTGTAAGGACATTCTGAGGAGAGAAATCAGGAAGGTAAAGAGGGGATATGAGATAGCATTGGCAGATAAGGTTAGGGATAATCCAAAGAGGTTCTACAAGTACATTAAGAGCAAGAGGGTAACTAGAGAGAGGGTAGGGCCTCTTAAAGATCAGGAGATGGGACAGATACTAAATTAATATTTTGTGTCAGTTTTTACTGGGGAGAAATAAATGGAGTCTAGAGAATGCAGAGAAATAAACTTTAATGTTTTAAAAACAGTTCACATTACAGAAGAGGAGGCTTGGGGTGTTTTGGAGAATATAAAGGTGGATAAATCTCGGGACCTGATCTAATGTATCCCAGAACATTGTGGGAAGTAAGGGAGGAAATTACAACACACCTTGCAGAAATATTTGCATCATCTATAACTACAGGTGAGGTGCCTGATGACTGGAGGGTGGTTCAATGCACCTCTGTTTAAGAAAGATTGTAAGGAGAACCCAGGGAACTATAGACCTGTGAGTCTGTCTTTGATTGTGGGTAAATTGTTGGAAGGGATTATAAAGGATAGGATTTATGGACATTTAATGAGGCAAAAATCGATTAGGGATAGTCAGCGTGGTTTTGTGCAAGGAAATTCATGTCTCGCAAACTTGGTGGAGTTTTTTGAGGAAGTTACCAAAAAGCTTGATGATGGCAGAGCAGTAGATATTGTTTATTTGGATTTTAGTAAAGCCTTTGACAATGTTCCACATGGTAGACTAATTAGTAAAGTTAGGTCACATGGATTCAGGGTGAGCTTAACAATTAGATATGGAATTGGCTTAATGGCAGGAGACAGTGAGTAATGATGAAGGGTTGCTTTTCAGACTGGAGGCTTGTGACCAGCGGTATTCCACAGGGATCGGTTCTGGGTCCTCTTTTGTTTGTCATCTATATAAATGATTTGGTGAGAATATAGAAGGCATGGTTAGTAAGTTTGCGGATGACACCAAAATTGGTGACATAGTTGACAGTGAAGAAAGTTTTCTAATATTAAGGAGGGATCTTGATCAAATGGGTCAATGGGCTGTAAAATGGCAGATGGGGTTCAAGCTGGATAAATGTGAGGCATTGCATTTTGATACAACAAACAAGGGTAGGGCTTATACAATTAATGATAGGGTCTTCGGTAGTATTGTAGAACAGAGGGTTCTAGAGATGTAGGTATATAATTCTTTGAAGTTTGCATCACATATAGACAGGTTGGTTAAAAAGGTGTTTGGCACACTTTCCTTCATTGCTCAGTCCTTTGAGTATAGGAATTGGGAAGTCGTGTTAAGGTTGTACAGGACATTGGTGAGGCCTCTTCTAGAATACTGTGTCCAGTTCTGGTCACCAGTTATAGGAAGCATATTATCAGGCTGGAGAAAGTTCAGAAGACATTTACCAAGATGTTGCCCCATATGAAAGGTTTGAGTTAAAAGAAAGGCTGGATAGGCTGGGACTTTTTTCACTGGAACATGGGAGTTTGAGAGGCAACCTGATAGAAGTTTATAAAATAATGAGAGGTATAGATAGATTTAATGGTAGTCATCTTTGCCCTAGGATAGGGGATTTCAAGGCTAGGGGGCACATTTTTAAGGTGAGAGGAGAGAGATTTAAAAAAAGACATGAGGCAAATTTTTTACACAGAGCGGGTTCGTGTGTGGAATGAACTTCCAGAGGAAGTGGTGGATGCGGGTACAATTACAACGTTTAAAAGACATTTGGATAAGTACATGAATAGGAAAGGTTTGGACGGATTTGGGCCAGGAGCAGGCAGGTGGACTAGTTTAGTTTGGAATTATACTCAGCATGGACTGGTTGGACCGGAGGCTCTGTTTCCGTGCTGTATGACTGTATGACTCAATAACTGCATTTTTAATTCAAAGATATGCAAGAGGCCAGACTTGCAGGAGCACAATGACCTTACAGGGTAGTAGGGCTAATTTGAAGAAGAGCAGGGGAGATCTCCCCATTGTCCTGGTCTACATTTACCCCTCATTCAACATACCTAAAGAAGTTTTTCTGATCATTATCAGCTTGTTGTTTGTGAGAGCTTGCGATGTGCAATTGACTGTTACATTTCTGACACTACAACATGTCAAAACAACTTGTCTGGCTGTGAAAAGTTTTGGGGCACCCTGAGATCATGAAAAGTGCTGCATGGTGCGGGTTCTTTCTTTGTGTTGGTATTCCGCATGGAACAAGCTTCATCCCAACACAGCAATTAAGAATGTGAGAAAATTCAGTCCCTTGATTTCCATCCCTCTTATGAGTGAATGAATTTAATTAGTTGACATTTCCGTAAACAAAGCTTCACATAATGGGGGCGTATTCTGGGAATTTGAGTCTCACTGTTTCCAATCCTGGTCCTAAAACTTAACCTCCCATCATATTGTTGGATCAGCGGAATACTTTTGTGAAAGAAAATGTGATGTAAGAATTACCAGCAGTTGCTGCCTTGGAAAGATGTGTACTTATCATTTTTAAACGTCCTTGCCCAGGTACCGAACCCCAGCTGGCGTGTGAAGTGGTTGTTGTAAACGGTAATGTTTCGAGCAAAGTGAGCAATGGCTTCACCTACTCTTTAGCTTTGATCTCTGTAATTGCAACTATTAGCCCCAGGAGAGGAGGAACTGGGGGAGGCACCAAGCTGACCATTACAGGGTCAGGTTTCAGGTGAGTTAAAATCTTCATCACGTTCACAGTAGCATGTACTACTAATTATAACAAACAAAAGCAGAGCTTTTTATATGAAATGCTCATAAGCATGGGGTGGAAATGGTGCAGGGTAATGTCAGTTAGCAAGTAATTGATTTCCCCAGGCTAGTACCCATGGGTACATGGCAGGTAGTGACATTCAAATTCAATCAATACCTAGAATTAAAAGCTAACCAAATGATGAGGATTGTCATCTGTCATAAAGCTTACTTGGTCTGGTCTGAGGCTCCAGATCCACAGCTTAACTGCCCTCAGTTCTATCAAACTGCCACAAAACCCTAAGTAAGGGAATGAAACTGAACAGACCACCCAACATTGATTTAGGCTCAGGGAACAAAAACAGGAAACACATCCTCTGCAAAGTCCTCATTCTCAAAATATGAGGACTTGTGCAAAAATTGGGAAAGCTGTCCAACAGACTAGTCCAATCAAAGCTTGACGTTGTCATGCTCACTAAATCAACACACAACAGATAATGCTGCAGACATCCCTATACCTGCAAACATTCTGTCCCATTGACAGAACAGGCCTAGTAGAAGTGACAACATGGTGGTGTGCAGTTTTGAGTAAAGTCACTATAGTCTCAGAGGATCATAGGTCTGTTCTCTCATTAGAGAGAGATGAGTGGTAATGAGTTTAACCTGAGACTCACCACATCTCAGTCACCCCTCCCAGAACCCAATGGTTCCTCACTGAGGTGCATTTCCAACTTTCTGCCTGTTAGCTCAGTGTGTGCATTATTAGACTAATTGCTTAGACATAGCATTACACCTCCTTCCTCATGATCCCAGTTTGGAGCGATGCCAGACCACGGGTCAGAGTTATACTGCCAGCCGCATCACTTTCCAACCAAGGGAACAAGTGTCCTCCATCTACAACTTTAAGAAGTCAGTGAGAATTCAGGGGTATATTACAAAGGAGGAGATGGTGATGTAGGGATAATGTCACTAGACTAGTAATCCAAAGACCCAAGTTAATAGAACATAGAACATAGAACATAGAACAATACAGCACAGTACAGGCCCTTTGGCCCATGATATTGTGCCGAACTTTTACCCTAAACCTCAGGTCTATCTAACTCCACCCCTACTTTATATTATCATCCATATGCTTATCTAATAGCGTTTAAATGCCCCTAATGAGGCCGACTCGACTACCCTCTCTGGCAATGCATTCCATACCCCTACCACTCTCTGAGTAAAGAACCTACCTCTGACGTCTCCCCAATATCTACCTCCACTCACTTTAAAACTATGCCCCCTCGTAATAGCTACCTCCACCCTAGAAAAAGTCTCTGGCTGTCCACTCTATCGAATACTGTGGGGATAGATTCAGATCTCACCACAGCAAATGATGCAATTTAAATTCAATTGATAAATCTGCATTGTAGCTCAAGGTATGACCATGATGATAATCATTGTTTGTACTAGAAACCCAAGGGTCTACCAATATTCTTTAAGGAAGGAAACCTGCCGTCCTTACCTAGTCTGGCTAACATGTGACTCCAGACACTCAGCAATGTTGCTACTTTCTAATGACCTAAAAAACCCATTCTACTCAAGAACAACAAATGTTGGCCTTTCCAGTGACACCCACATTCCATTAATGACCAAAGGCAATAAAATTAAGTTTAGAAAAGTTTTCTGTATACACAATATACATTATTTGAGACATGACATACTGTGATTGCAGCTTGCATCAGGCAAAATAGGTGACTTTGGACCAAAACTGGCGATTTCCTCACTTCATGAGATAACAAGGTGCAGAGCTGAATGAACACAGCGGGCCAAGCAGCATCAGAGGAGCAGGAAAGCTGATGTTTCGGGCCTAGACCCTTCTTCAGGATTTCTGCTTGGCCCACTGTGTTCATCCAGCTCTGCACCTTGTTATCTCAGATTCTCCAGCATCTTCAGTTCCTACTATCTCTCCTCACTTCATATCAGGGTGTGTCATAGACTCATTGATGGAGATTAATCACTTATCATTACATCGGTGACTGCCTGGTTGGGAGAAGATAAACTAAGTTTAACCTAGTCTGTTTTCAGCTGACAATTCCCGTATTTGTATGCTTTCACAGATGGTTTGGAACCAAAGCAAAACTATTTCATATCAATGTAACATCTGTGGAAATCCTAACTCAACCAGTCCATGTTTTGTTCTTGTGATCCGGACAGGTTGTTTAAAAAATCCACACAACACTGGAAATATCTTAAGTAAATGTAAAAATGTATATATTCAAAAATGCCTCTAAAATCAAATACTACCACTTAGTGAATGAAAACAAAATGGATAAAGAATAGAGAGCTGTTTTAATGTATGCTGTTTGTATGCTGTCAAATACCTGGCGTCAGTGTACCTCTGGTGTAGAAAGGGTGCATGTTACTTGCCAGAAAGATTTAATTCTCTAACAATATCCTGTTTACCCTTTCAGTTCAGACATAAGTGAGAATAATGTGACTATAGCTGAAAGTCCCTGTGAGATCCAGTCTGTGAATGAAACCAACATTTTGTGTGTTACCAGCGCACATTTTCCATCACAACAAACTAAAGTCATTGTGAGCGTACAGGGAAATGGCATTGCCAAGCTGGTAAGAGAACTCATTTCCCCATGGTTTGAGATCTGGGTTGTTGGGGTTTGTCTTCTTGGGGCCAAAGTGTTGACATTTTAGTGCTGGGGATTGGAACTTGGGACATCAGTTAGATACAGCTGTGTAATACCTTCCTAAATTCCGGACCCAATTCCAGATGTGGGATTAATTCTAGGCAGAAGATAAGTCAACCTCCAAACTGGGGCTTGGGTTGCCAATCCTCTAGAATTGGCCTGGAACCTCCACTAATTGAGGTTTAAAGAGGTGGACATGGCTGACATTCTAATTAGAATTAGAATTAGCATTAGGTTTCATTATCATGTGTACTCAAGTACAGAAGTGCAGTGAAAAGTACATAAAGTCATCATTCTCTAATGCCATCAGAAGAAGAACTGGAGGAGCATTGAAAGAGTTTATGGGTTTATTTTCACATTTCCTTTGACTGCCAAGTTGGCAACCCTGTCGCATATGAAAATACGAAAAAGAGTAGGCAATGCTGAGGATGAAAGTGGTGAACAAAGAGATTCCTCCATTTACACTGAAATTACATTTGATTTTGAGTAAACCTGTCAAGTTGAGGGGTCAAATACATATAGGAACTGATTTTGCAAAAGGTATACCTATATTTTAGGAAATAGTAAAGGCCACTGAAACTGTCTGAATTCAACCAGAATGTTCTTTATTTCAGGACAATGCAGATTTCAACTACATTGATGTCTGGTCCTCACGTTACACATGGGGAGGTGACACACCTCCTGAGACAGGCTCACTTGTTGTTATCACCAAAGGGCAGACTGTACTCCTGGACCAAAGTACCCCTGTCCTGAAGACGCTTGTCCTTCAAGGTAATGACACTAAAAACCTCATTGACTGAGGAATCAGAGTATCACTGCACAACCCAGGGAGCATGGTCTGATGATGAGAAAGACTGCACTACACAGTGGATTCACATATTAGACACGTCTTTACACCATGAGTTAATGAAATAGTTACAGCACAAAAATAGGCCTTTTGGCCCATTGTTTCAATTGGACTGAAGTCTCCATTCTCATCCATTTGTGAAGGTCCTATATAAAAAGATTAATGAGCAGTTCAAACTGAAAGAATCCACAGACTCCCAGAGACAGCTGTTGATAATTGAAGTCATGGGTTTGGTTTGTATAAAACAAATGTTGTGTTCTGTTGTATATGAGACGGTTGGTTTTATTTCTAACTGCCCTTAAATATCCACTGTTTTGTACTGAACTCTGCAAAGTCAAAGTGTTGGCAGTGTCTACATGAGGTATGAGGTATGAGGTGTACATGAGGGAAAATGCAGAAGACATTAAAGCAGTTTTTCCAGGCTTGAAATGGACCCAATTAACATGTTCAGACATGTTATGACAAACCTCTGGAACAAGAGGCTGAACCAGAGTCTTCTGCCCAGAGTTAGGATCATTACCACTCCCCCACCTCTGGCTAATGGCCATGTGCTTTGCTAGCAGCTGTGTTGTCAACTCAGACAGCTTAACAGTTTTTTTTTAAATGGGTGAATGTCGAACCTGTGCTTCACCAACAGCTGCCTGCAGGATATGACTGATTTTTTCAAAGAGATGAGCAGGCGAGAGAGAGGGAGAGAGAGAGAGAGAGAGAGAGACAGAGAATTAACAGTCAAGTGGAGAGCTCCTGTTCATCCTGGGCTCATACAGAAGACAGTAAGCTTGCCTTGTGTTACTAGTCACGGGAAACTGTATGTGAGAGAAGGTAAGTCTCCAGCCACTTGCAGCAAGTGGTGATGAAATAAAGCACCAGTCCTTTACTTTAGAGCAGGAAGATTATGCTGGAACTGTATAAGGCACTGGTTATGCCACAGCTGGAGAGTTACATGCAGTTCTGGAATCCATATTATACGAGGGATACGTTAATACTGGAGAGGGGATTTGTACCCCCAAGATTGGCTGCAATGATTTATGCTGTACAGAGCAGAAGCTAGTCATAGAGTCAAATAGATCTACAACACTGAAAAATGCCCTTCAGTCTATTGTGTCCATGCTGGTCACAAACAACCACCTAATCCCATTTCCCACTTTAATTCATAGCTTTGTGTGCCTTGGCATCACAAGTGCACATCTAAATACTTTTTAAATGTTCTGAGGTTTTCTGTCTCTACCACTCTTACAGCCAGTGAGTTCTAGATTCCCACCACCCTCTGGGTAAAAAGGTTTTTCTTTTGTAAACCTCCTGCCCCTTACCTTAAATCTGTGCCCTAGTCATTGATTTGTCCACCAAGGGAAAATGTTTCTTCCTGTCTACCCCATCTGCAACCCCCTTAATTTTATACATCTCAATCATGTTCCGTCTCAATCTCCTCTGATCAAAGGACAACAACCCCAGTCTGCCCAATCTCTCTTCATAACTGAAACTCTCCAGCCCAAGCAACATCCTGGTAAATCTCCTCTACACCCTCTCCAGTGTCATCGCATCCCTCATAAAATACGGATTCCAGAACTGCACAAAGTTCTTCGCTTTAGCCTAACCAGTGTTTTATATAGTTCCAGCCTAACCTTCCTGCTCTAAACTTTATGCCTTAGCTAATAAAGGCAAGTATTCCATATTCCTATCTAATATTTTATCCACCTATCCTGATAGCTTAAGGGACTGGTGGACATGCACAACAATGTTCCTCTGATCCTCGGTGCTTCTCAGGGTCCTACCGTTTCTCATGTATTCCCTTACCTTCTTTGTCCTGCTCAAGTGCATCCCTTCACACTTTTCTGGATTAAATTCCTTTTGCCACTGATTAGCACATCTGACCAACCTGTCAATATCATCCTGTAATCTAATGTTATCCTCCTCACTGTTACTGCCGCACCAATTTTTGTATTATTTACAAACGTACTGATCTACCCTACCTCATTTAAGTGTAAATCATTCATATAAACCACAGACAGCAAGGACTGCGAAACTGACTCCTGTGGGACTCTACTGGATGCAAACCTCCACTCAGAAAAACTCCCCTCAACCATCTCCCTCTGCTTCCTGCTGCTCAGCCAGTTGTGGATCCAGTTAGCCATGGGCTCTTACCTTTGCTGTTGGTCATTCATGCACACCCTTATCAAAAGCCTTGCTGAGGTCCAAATGAGACTGTATCAAAAACATTGCCTGCATGTATGTGCCTGCTCATTTTCCTTGAAAAAAAAATCAGTCAAGTTGGTCAGACATGACCTTCCCTTAAAAAAAAAACCATGCTAACTGTACTTAATTAATACCCGCCTTTCCGAGTGCAGATTAATTCTGTCCATTAGAATTGCTTCCAATGCTTTCCCCACTATCCAAATTAGACAGACTGGCCTGTAGTTTCCTGGTTTATCCCTTTTTCCCTTAGAATAATCATACAACATTGGCTGTCCTCTAGTCCTCTGGCACCTCTCCTTGGCCAGAGAGGAATTGAAAACTTTTGCAAGTGCCCCTGCTGTTTCCTATGTGTTACACTAGTGAAAGCACAAAGCCAGAAATTACATTGACTTTACAGGCTATTCAGCTCAGCTACTCTGTGCCGGGTTTTATGCTCCACACAAACCTCCTCCCACTCTCTCTTCATCTCATATCCTTCAATTCATTTCAATCTCATGTGTTTAACCAGCTACACCTGAAATATATCAACACTATTTACCTCCACCACACTCCATGATCATGAGTCCCACTCTGGAAATGGTGGCCTCTGCAGAGGAAGATAGTGGGATGAGAAGATGCATGATTCTCCAGTCTATTTTGTCTGGACTCTCTTCTTGGTCAGCTAATCCTTTACTTTCAGCTCCATTCTTCCAAACAGTCTCCAGAGGTAAATAAGTTTCTCATGAGTTCCAATTTGGATTTATAAGTGACTTTTTTTTTTGGTGATGGGCCTTAGTTTTGGTCTTCCCCAGCATGTGGAAAATCTTGATGTAAGTCTACCCTTAATGATCTTAGAGATCTTCATCCAGTCAAATCTGAAGAAAACAGCCCCAGCCTATTCACTCTTATGTTCTTCATTCTGGAATCATTACATTACAGAAGTAGGCTCTTTGGCCCATCATGTTGATGCCAGCTGTGTGTAAGAACAGATCCACTTGTACCATGCCACTGCCATTTTCAGAGCTATTGGGAAAAAGCAATGTTATGGAACAAAAGATAAAAGGGAATGGCACTCTGCAAACTTTAGGAACATAAGAACTAGCAGGAGCAGGAGTGGGCAATTCAACCTAGTGAGCCTGCTATAATATTCAATAGGACTATAGCTGATCTTGCATTTTGTTCCATGACAGCCTTGTCATTTAATTTCTCCTGTCCTCTACCCTGTCCCAATTTTCTCTTTTTTTTTTATTCCAACCCCAAACCCAAATATCTCACAATAGTGTAAAATCATTCACATTTCTACCTTACTTCACTTCCAAAGAAAACTCCTATTGGACACACATCCTTAATTTGGTTTCTCTATCTACAGAGGCTGCCAGCCCTGCTGAATTTCTCCAGCATTTTCTGTAAGCACAGTCAACATTAGACAATATACAATATGCCTTCTGTCCCCAGGTGGAACCCTTCTGTTCGATGATGCTGACATTGAGCTTCAAACAGAAAACATTCTCGTCACGGATGGAGGAGTGTTCCAGGTAACAACACATTAAGACTGTATGGATCAGATCTTAGAAGGTTGTTTCTGGGTGTAAGTTGTGGGGATAAGTTTACCATGTGCCATTGAAAAGAAATGTGAATAAGTAATTGGAAAAGAGAAACAGCAAGATGTGAAGAAGGTGGGGTGGATAAACAGATGCTGGCCTCCTCTTGAGTTGTAGATTCTATGATTCCTTATTGGTGGAGGAACCATATGCAGCATAAGGGTGGTGTCAGCCTTCTGTCTCACCAGAGGATGGTGTGTGTCATGGTGGGGCTAAACATGTGCTTAGGAGCCCCACTCTGGGCATGGTGGTTTCTGTCACATTGTCTGCAGAGGAAGACAGTGGAATGAGGAGATGCATGATTCTTCAGCCTCTGTTTTGTCTGGACTCTCTTCTTGGTCAGCTAACGCTTTACTTTCAGCTCTATTCTTCCAAACGGTGTCCAGAGGCCACGGCCATCAGCTAATGTTCCCCAGTTGTCAGTTACCCCTGACTTTGTACCTATGCAAACAGTTACAAGAGGCTCATCAGGTTTCAACCCTACTTATCTGATATGGGTACACTGCTGATGCACACAGCAACAGATTTATTAAGGCAGTGGCTGAAATTTTTTTTTTTGCTGCATGTTTCTAGCCAAAGATAGAGGGATATTAGAATCTGGATCTCAGATGCATCATTTCCAGGATCTGATCCACATTCACAGACCCCACTTGACTGCAGATCAAAGATAGTAACTGCTTATTCCATGACTGTGTTCCAACCACAGACTGAAAACTCTGAGACTTGCAGCCAATATTGTCCCACACAGCCCTTCCTGTGGGTGTTATTCCCAGCAACAACCCTCACTTCCACTCTTCTCCGCACCCCCCCCAACATCAATAGCTTGGAGAAACAAAATCCTATTTTCCAGGTGAACTGTCCCCCACCAATAGCTGGGAATGATCAATCATTTGAAATTCCAGCACAGAGGTGGAAAAAATAAAGAAATCTCACTTTCCAGCTGTTTCATAAAATGATGGGTGCTGAGGGTTGTAATTTGGTTTTATAGGGAAGGATGTTGCATCTACTTGCTGTTTAAACTAGCTTTCAACCATTTCCCAGATTGGAACAGAGTCCGCTCCATTCAGGCACAAGGCAATAATCACACTGCATGGTCACCTCCGAGCAAAAGAACTGCCCCTGTATGGAGCCAAGACACTGGCAGTTCGAGAGGGAACCCTGGACCTTCATGGTAAGTTTTTGAGTGCAAACTGAAGTTCCCAAATAAAAGTCAAAAGACAAAAACTTGCATTTATGCAGCATCTTTAAGAACATAAATATGCACAGAACTGGACCATTTGGCCCTTCAAACTTGCCCCACCATTCAATAAAGTCATGGCTGATGCTCCCCAGGCTTCAATTTCTCTTTCATGCCCACTCCTCATAGCCCTCAACTCCCCAATATTTCAAAAATCTATCTACATCCTCTTGAAATACTTTCTAGCCTCCAACTTGTCTGGAACAGAATTCCAGACATTTACGATCCTCTAGGAGAAGAAATTCCTTCACATCCAGTTTTAAATGGGTATGCTGTTATTCCTCCATTGGCTGAGGTTACCATGTACAAATCTCCTTCTCAATCTCTTCCTCTCACCTGAGGTGTGGTGACCCTCAGATTAAATCACCACCAATTGTATCTCTCTAATGAGAGAAACCCTATGGTCCTCTAGGACAATGGTGACTTTATTTTACCTTCTTCTATAACTCTGTCCCCTAGTTTGAGATTTCCCCCACTAATGGAAACATCTTCTCAACTCAACATCCAACTTGTGAAGCTGTCTCAGACTCTTCAAAAGGATCAAGGAAAACCCTAAAGCTTTCTATAGGTATGTCAGGAATAAAAGAATGACTAGAGTAAGATTGGGGCCGGTCAAGGACAGTAGTGGGAAGTTGTGCGTGGAGTCCAAAGAGATAGGAGAGGTGCTAAATGATTATTTTTCGTCAGTATTCACGCAGGAAAAAGACAATGTAGTCGAGGAGAATGCTGAGATACAGTCTATTAGACTAGACGGGATTGAGGTTCATAAGGAG